ACTTCACACACCAAATATGAAGGTCAAACTACTTGGCCTTTAAAAATCACAACTTTAATGATTGGTTGGAATGCAAACACCATTTTAGTGTTAACAAATCACCAATTTAGTTATTTATGGTTGGAGTTGCTCTAAAACAAAACACGTTTATTACGGTTTCGAAAATTTGAAACCACATGAAAAAAAAAAAAAAAAAATACAAACGGCTAAACTAACCCTTGCGTAATTTGACCGGTTTCACCGTTTAAAACCCACCCGTGAACACCCAGCCGGTAAGACATATTCGCAGCTGAAATCAACGTCAATTTATCCCAGCACAAAACTATTTACTCCAATCTTACGAGCCCTAACTTTACGCCAAATTCACAATCCTTTCCTATTCTAGGGTTTTAGATTTTCAATTTGTTGCTGTTTGTATGTTAACATACAATTGCTTGACAGAAATTCTTCCTAGGGTTTGGAGAAAACCCTAGATCGATTTCATTTTTCAGCAGTAATGGGTGCTTTAACGATTAATCGGAACAAGCGCGACGCAGAATTTCAAACTTCATCACCATCTGTGTACGGTTACAACTCTCTACACGTTGCGAAGAAACTCAAATCATCATCTTGGTCTTCGCCTCACATTGCTCCAACGAAAACTTCAAGAAGTTCGGTTTCCAGGCTCAGCCAATATCCTAAGCCGGTAGCCCCGATCAATAGAGAAGTTCATGCTCCTTGTATAATTGTTAGTGGATTTACTTCTACTGTGAAAAGACTCAATGGTGGTTCTAGTGGGATTGTTAGGCAAAAATCTTACATTTCGGGTGAAAATATGAATGATCTGTTTTCGAAGTACAAACACGCGAAGGAATCTGCAATTGGTGCTTGCAGACTTGTTGTGTTTGAAAAGCAGGATACGACGGAGGTAATTGATGTTGATAAAGAGGAGAATTTTAAATATGACAAGGCTGCTTCTAGGAGTTCTAGTGTTGAGGAGGTTGAAATGGTGAAAGATGCGATAAAACACATTCATAGGTCAGGGGAGGTAGAAGAAATAGCAGCCAAATATTGGGAATTGGATCAAAAGACACCCTCAACTTCTTCTGAAGTTTTATCTGAGTTGACAAATGGAAAGATGTTGGAATCCATGTCTCTGAACCGGGGTTCAGATGCTATGGATGTAGATATGGGTTCGCCTTTGCATAAGAAGTTGTATGAATCTGCAAAAAGGAGTGATTCTAAGCTGAGGAGAATAAATTTTGATATTGAGTTACACGAAAAAAGGAGAGCTTTATATCAACAATCACATCCTGCTAAGAAAAAGGAGGTAAACAGTTTGTATTCAACTTTCATTGGTAATTTGGATTGAAGTTTATATATTCTATCAACTGTTTTTCATATCAAATTGATTGTTTTTTCAGGATTTAAATGACCCTTTTAGACCTCTTACCGAGGACGAAGAGAAAATGGTTGATAATGCGCTTTCTTATTCTAATCGGTATATTTTAATGTTTGTGTGTGTATGTTTGTAGATATGTAGTAAACCATATACAAACCAAGAATGCTTTACTTTTTTTTTCATCTGATTTGTCGGTTTTTAAATGGACTTTCAAATTTGTAGGAGGAAGGCTTTTGTCAATCATGAAAACTCAAATATTACAATCACAGGAGAAGTTCTGCAATGTTTGAGACCTAAGGCATGGTTAAATGATGAGGTGATTATTGACTTAAAATGTTATATATGAAAGTATATTAATGTATTAATAATATGCAATCTTACACTGCTGATTTCTTTATTATAGGTCATCAATGTTTATCTCGAGTTGCTAAAGGAGAGGGAAACTAGGGATCCCCAAAAGTTTTTGAAATGTCATTTCTTCAACACATTTTTCTACAAGAAGGTTGGTTAATCACATTCCTTTTTATATCTTTTCTTCTTCATTGATTTGACAATTGTTGAAACTGAATGTATCTTGAATTCTTGATTAGCATTACTTTTGACCATTAGATAGCAACCTTCATCATGAATTCATGATCGATGTTAATTAGCATAATATCATTGAATATTGTCCGTTTTGAGTGAAAAAAATAGTTTTAGGGTAAGTGAATTAATAAATTTGGTAGGAAAGCAAAGTAAATTTAGTATCATCATTCTCCATCTTACTTTGTGAATTTATTTAGAATGTTTATTGTTCTACTTGAGAAAACCTAAATGTGAACATCTGAATAGAATTCTCTTTTTATAAATCTATATTTGTTTTGAGTTTACTTAATTTGCACTTGAAAACATCTCAATTATAGACATTAGGCTCTAGATATATCCTGAATACTTAAATGGAAATGGAAAACTTGAATTGCATCTCCTGTTCTATTAAAGACTTTTTACTTTTTCCACTTTGGCTTTCTTTTTTTTTTTTTTTCAAAAAACTATTATCACAAACCTTGTCCGATTGATAAACCTCTTCAAAGGCTTTTTAAAATAAAAACTAATTTATCCTTTTCTATCTGAAATGTTTCATAAAGCCCCCTCACTTGAATATCTTAGAACTTAAGAAATTATTTCAATTTATAAACTAAGTTTAACACACCTATCATTTGAAATTATAATTTTTTGTTTGGCAGTTGATAAGTGGAAGAACAGGGTATGACTATAAGTCAGTTAGAAGATGGACTACACAGAAGAAATTGGGATATGGTCTTCTTGAGTGTGACAAGGTAAATGAAAAGATTTTAATTTTCTATTTTTTTTTCTTTTATAATTCTTCACTAATAATAGTTTTAAGCAGATATTTGTTCCCATTCATAAAGAAATACACTGGTGTTTGGCTGTTATCAACAAAAAAGAAGAAAAATTCCAGTATCTTGACTCACTTGGAGGGGCTGATAAGAAAGTAATGAAAATGTTGGTATGTCAATTCCTTTTCTTCTCTTTATTTCTTAAAAGACTAAAATACCCCCCATTAAAAGTGAAATATTCTTTTTCCAAAAAGAATTCCATTCTATTTCTTGCCAACCGAATGCATAACAGATTTCAATTTCATTTTTCTGGCTAGATTCCATTTCTCGACCTTATTTGTGTAAAGAGACTAAAATACCCTCGCATCCATGTATGAATCTTATGTGTTGTTTCATGTTTTCAGGCGACATACATCACTGATGAGGTGAAGGACAAGACTGGAAAAAACATCGATGTCAGTTGTTGGAAGCAAGAATTTGTCACTGATCTTCCTAATCAAGAAAACGGGTGTGTATACTATTAACTTTCTTGAAAATTTTTTCATAATATTTACCAAAAAAGGAAATTTAGATAATTTGGAAATTGGTGGCTTTTGGACATTTTTCTTGTTGACTTTATGATAATTGAATAGAATAAAGATAATGAAATTCATCTACTCTACAAGTTGAATAATGCCATTGATCTCTCGTTTGTGCAAAAGACATGAATGCCCTCCTTAGGACATTGGGATTTAGAGATTGTAATTTATTGGGATTATAATTTTTAATTTTTTTTTAATAATTGGATTTGTTTGTGGGCAGGTATGATTGTGGCATGTTCATGATAAAATATGCAGATTTTTATAGCAGAGACATTGGATTGTGCTTCAATCAGGTAAACCATATTGTAATAACTTAATAGAGAATGTTGAAGAAAACAAATTATATATATATATATATATATATATATATATATATATATATATATATATTCATTTCCAAATTTATTGCTTTTAAATTTGTAATAAATAGTAGTAAATATCTTTTATTTTTTGTAGGAGCATATGCCATATTTTAGATTGAGAACTGCCAAGGAGATATTGAGATTGAGAGCCGATTGATTGATAATATTCATCACATCATCTCTCTAACCACCAATTATCGGAGTCTGCAAGGGCGGATTCAAAATTACCAAATTGACCTTGTTATCCACAATTTGATCATCAAGTGCTCTGTTTGTTTTTTGAGTTAGAGTGGTTGATTTTTATACTGAGAATGCCTGTCAGTAGAGTAGGAAGCCGGTTTACTAAGGGCTTGTTTGGCTTGTTTCATTCTCTCTCTTTTTGTTTTTGTTTTTTTGTTTTAATCTTAGTATATAGTATATATAATTCTGGTTTTTGTTTAGAATATCTAGATATTCATTTTCTATAATATTGTATAATTAGAAGATAGTTTTCTCATTTGGTATGTTTATGTTTTATTTGTGTAATTTCCATTCCAGCAGTCTGCATCATTAGGAAAAGTAGGATCACTCATTTGATAAGGAGCTGTTTACAGATTGTGAATTTTGGGGTATTTTGTTTTTTGCAAAAGAAAATTGAAGTCGGATTTAGAAGTAGACAAGTTTTATTTAAAAAAGATGTATATAAACCAATCAAGTATATGCCATTTGAAAGTTAAAATAAATGAATGAATGGCCATCTTTAGTTACTAATTAATAAACATAATTTAATAAGATTTTTAAGCCACATATACTTTTCCTTATTGAGATATGAGGACATTGTTAACAGCATTATCACCAAACGAATTTAGAAATTACAGGAAAAACCTGACTATAAAAATCAACTTTTAGTTTTAAAAAACAATTACTGTCTTTAATCTTTATATTGTTCTAAATATATAAAAAAAATCCATTATGCATAGTGACATGTAGCTGTTCTCTAGAGTTTTTTTTGTTCACTTTAGGGCAAAGTGGTTACAAACTTACAATTTAATACTCTGGGCTTTCAAATGGACTTCATTTAATATTGGATCAGGCTAAGATGGTATAAAATAACTAAAATATCTCTTTTGGAGGTCGAAGCATAAAAAAAACAAGCTTCCAATGGTTAAAACAACTATCATGCTGTTTTGATACCATTTTGTAATTTGCTTAATACAGCAATCTAACCTAATATTCTCGAAATCGACTAAAAAAATGAATATATACTTGCTATTTATTTTATAGAAATCACAAAAAATCAACTTATTAACAAATGTGGAGGTGTTGTCATAGTAGATTAGAAGGGCTATATGTAAAGTATCTCATCAACTTTTGCAAATGTCTTCAACTGCTTTAGAAGAATTATTGTACGATAAACACACTACAATATCTATCGAAATTAACTTACAAAAAAGTACAACATAAGGAACAAAAGTTCTAACTCCACATGAAGTGTTGCTTACAAATCTTCATTAGCAAGCCACCTTGTAAGCATGCTTAAACATTCTTTAGGTTTGTACTCCGGAGCTGTGTGACCTCCTCCCTTTAACAACACAAAAAAGGTCAAACATCTTGATCATAACATTTTTTTGTACACATTCTGTTATATTTGACAAATAGTCAACCTTTTTACAAAGTCAAAGATTGCCTTTTTCATGAGACAAGGGAAAGCCAGGGTGAGGAGAAGTTTTTAAGGAAGATTTCTCACCTTTATAGTAGCGAATGTCAAGTTGTAGTCGTGGTTTGAGTATTTCATGGTGTATCTACAAGAAAATAAGATAGCAAAATAGTTTCGAAAAACCAAAATATTTGTATTTTTTAGCATATATTTTGATGATATCATATCAATAAAAACACAACTAACCCGGCTACTTGTTCATCAACAAACCAAGGTCTCCAATCATCCACAACTAACAGATTTAGCGATTCAATCCAGTTTAACGTACCCAAATATGGAACAACCATATCATGATCTCCACTGTAAAATGTAACCAACGTTTATTTACTTTAAATAAAAAAAATTAAATACTGCATGCATGCATGAACAAGGTCGACAAATAGTGGACTTCAATTTTCTGCAAAAGAATTATTATTCCAACAACCCTGAGCTGGCCTACACTGTCCTGCCCCACCTACCCACCTTTGGAGCATCATATGGGATGTAAATCAGGTAAACAACGGCCTACTAGGTGGATGGTATAAGCGTCCAGTGCCCATAAAAAGATCAATCCATATTAGAATTGAAACTCTCAATGTTGCAGTTGCTTAGACTCGAACCCTTGACCTTTTTGGAAGTATACAACCCGAGAACCAACTATGATATACCCCTTAAAGGCCAAGTAGACTCTAGTTATATAAAGATATATGATATTGAGAGGAAGAGGTGGATGAAGCGTAACACCTATATACAAGAGCTCGACAATTTTCTATCAGCAAGGTGTCGATGATAGGCAACTGTACTAGGGACATTGTGCGTGTAAGATAAGGCCTTCTTATGATCATCAGGAGAACGCAAGGTTTCATTGCATCGCACCCACTCGATTTCTTTAAATTCCTGATGGTTATGAACATGGATAGAAATACAACTCACAAACCTCACGAATGTCAAGAGCCTCTCGCACGTCTTTTCTGTTAGCCCATGTATACGAGTACAGGTAGTTGTCCTCCTGTGACAACACAAAAATCTTATTCACACACACACACACACACACACAGAGAGAGAGAGAGAGAGAGAGAGAGAGAGAGAGAGAGAGAGAGTAATACGCGACAGCCTTGTATATGAAGTTGAGGTAACGACCAAATATCCATAGAGGTATTGTCAAGAAATCTTAAGCGTCTCCTAAAGAGATCGGATCGTAAGGCATTTAAAGTGTCACAAAAAGGCTCTAAAATGTGAGCTTTTCTAATTCTTTCCAGACACTGTAGATTTAAACAAAAAAAAAAGTAAAAATAAAAATAAAATAAACGGAATATACAAATATTCTGAAAATGACATTATTAGTTAGTAAGTAATCCAAGTTAAAGTGTCACAAAAAGGCTCTAACTTGCGTACCTTATCTACCACATGAAGATAATGTGTACAAACACTGTTGTTGGGATCAACATTCAAGTATTCTCCATGACAATTTTCTTTAGTAGACTTTAAAAACATAAAACTTAATTCCCAGACATATTGTGATTTATCCAACTGTAGTTATATTTACCTTGTAGATTGCATCTGATAAAAGTCCCATACGATGAGCGAATGGGATTTTTGAATTACAGTCAAAACTTGCGTCTGTTGAAGGGTTACCAAGCACGTATCCCTAAGTTGCAAAATATTTTATAGAATTTAGTGATCCTTGAAAAGATTAGGTCAATTTTTTTCAAGTGCAATCAAGCTCATGCACCAACAATTGTTCATTTTAGAAAAAGGTAATTATAGGTAAATAGTTTGTACTTTAATGTTGATATGTGGCCCTCCTCCAACTTCATTACCTACAAAAAGAGGGAAACAAGAAGCTGAAAACCTCTTAATGAAGAGAAACTATTTAGTCAAAAGAAACTTAATTAGTGGACTTCTATGTATTTTGAAACTCGATGAATGTAAGATTATAATGAATCATATACTTGTGTTTCTGAAATCTAAGTATTTAACTAAGAATATACCATTATATATTTCTTGAACAATCATTGGCACCACTATGCCACCATAGGAATCAGAACCAAGATACAATGGATTGTTGAGAAATTTAGGATGATCCATGAGCCACTGTTAAGTTTTGATACACATAGATTGCAATCCATTTTCAAGGACACAAATAGAAAAATGTGAGCATGCATCCAAAATGTACATCAAATTGAAAAATGGAAAGTAAAAATGACCTTAATTACCTTTCTCAAAAAAATGGTAAACCTGCATTGTTGATAATGTATTGTTTGTTATGTAAGCTTCAGGAGATTTTGCATAGGAGAATCCAGATCCAGCAGGTTGATCAAGAAATATTATATTAGCCACCTAAAACGTAACACTTATTTCATTAATTATATTATCAAGACACTCGTACTAATTGGCTTTTTAACATTAAAAGTAATTATAAACTTTAAAATGAAATACTATATACAAGTAGTAAAATTACACCTTTGTCCAACTGTGAGGGTTTATCTGGAGCATTGGCTTCTCCAAAGTGGAATTTGCATAGTTGATCATGAATGGGCCTGTTACAACTTAACAACACCAACACTTAAACTAATATCCTCTTAAATTTATGATGGAAAGAGAAAGACACATACTGTGGCATTAATTATTCAGTAATAAAAACTACATATCTTAGACATACCTATCTCATACAGAAGCCCAGAAAGAGCAGAACAACCAGGCCCTCCTGTAAGCCAAAGCATGAGAGGGTCGGCTTTTGGATTCCCTTCAGACTCAACAAAGTAGTAAAATAATTGCACTTCATCAGATTTTCCTACCCCAATGTAGCTTAAACCACATTGTTCTTTTAAGAGTTAGTATATTTACTATATAAAAAAAAAGACAGAATAATATATAAAAGCGCAAATTAGCAAGAGTAAAGTACATTGTTATCTCCAGAAATCTGCATAGGAAATTAGATTTTGTTACAAAGAGCATGGCTGGCCTTACCCAGTTTCAAGTGTGAAAGGAAGATCACCTAGCAAACCTGGCAGTGAGTTAACCAGGAATCCTGACTCAGTAACTTCCGTGGAAACTACCAGAAGAAGAAACGCACCAAGCAAAAACCGATTCTTGAACTTGTTAAAGAGGTTCCATGGTTGAAGATGAGATTGTGACCGAAGTTTCATGATTCTTTTAAGCAAAAAATAGATATACACAGGTTAATTTCATCCTCCGTCATCATTGCATGCAGAATGAAACAATTGCGGTGATAGATTTTGCAAAATATGAGTCCCATTGATGTAACCCGGCACTTTCATCAGGTATGTTCGCAATTCTCAATCAGATTAGGTCGAAAAAGGGACAAAAAGGAGTTGTGTTTGGCATAAATGAGACCTTCCATGGGTTGGGTTAACTGTTCATCGGGACTAATTAAAGAACTTAATTGAAACGCAAATACGGAAGCATATCGGAATCTAATGACGGATTAATGATACCTTAAGAATTGAATTGAAGTGCATGCCATGAATAGAATGAAACAGATTCCCGAGGCTCGGTCACCGGTGATGAATGGACGACTTCCGGCTGACTATTGTTGTTCTTACTTGTGCAATTTTCCTTTGAAACAATATATTCAATAAAACAATATGTCTTTCAGTAATTATGGGATATCATTTAAGTGAGTAACTACGGTTTTCGATATTCGAGAAATGAATTATAATTGATTTGATTTTCAACGATATATATATATATATATATATATATATATATATATATATATATATAATATATATATATATATATATATATATATATATATATATATATATATATATATATATATATAGAGGTAAGTTCAATTGACAAAATAAAAAAGGTTGAGAATGGGAGAATCATTCTCAGCCACTCATTTAATCTAAGCATAAAAAGACACGGTGACAAACTTGTAAATATGATAATAACCTTCAATCTCAAATACGTAACATCAATTTCTTTGTTGAATACTCCGAATTTGAATTTCCCAGATTTGCAAACGAACTCAGTTGGAATCGGAATTTCTTTGTTGTTCATGAAATTGGAATTGGAGTCCTGGACTCGCAGTCACAGTCGACATTGAAGGACTCAGAATTGGTACTCACAGGTTCCTAATCGGATTTTCGGAAATCAAAGTCGCATCTGAAGTCAGAAGCTTTTGAAATTGGAACATATATTCTAATCGGAACAGTTCACATCTTGATTATCAGTATTACAAAGAAATCTGGAATCGGGATTTCAAGGTTTCAAAATTGAAATTAGAATTTTTTTTGGAATGAAATGAAAAGCGGAATTGCACGCTTCAAAGTCGAAATCGGAAGTATATGATGATTTGGAATTGATAACTTGAATTGGAAGTATCATGTTTTTAACATTTTTAAAAAAGTTAACTTGTATGCACTCCGACTATTTGATGAAATGCATAAACTAAATTACCACGTTATATTCACATATGAATATGTTTTCTGACCTGAATCAATATATGATTATTAAAACAAAAAACAAATATGTAAGTCTGTATGATATTCATATGTGAATAATGTATAAAAATTATATATATTTGTGAAAACACCTTGTAATATTCATATGTGAATATACTGTGTAATATTCATAAGTGAATATATCATCTTATATTCACAAGTGAATATACTATGTAAAATTCACATGTGATATACCATGTAATACTATGTAATATTCACATATGAAAATATCATATAATATTCATAAGTGAATATACCATCTAATATTCACAAGTGAATATACTATGTAATATTCACAAGTGAATGCATCGTCTAATATTTAAATATGAATATATTATGTTTATTATATGCTATATTCATATATGAATGATACTTAAATTATAAAAAAATTAATCATACTTTTTATTCATAAGTGAATAACGAATGTACTGTAGTAAAAACCTGATGCATTTTCATTCACTTATGAATAACGATAGCTGAAAATATAATTTTTTTTATTTTATCTTAAAACTATATTAATATGGATGTCTATTTGTAGAGAATAAAAAATCATGAATTTTGGTATATTTAAAATCATTTTTCGATAAAAATAGCTTCTTAAATATTAAAAAAAAAACGAAAAAAACTATGTTTTTGTATATATTAAGGTAATGATTAGCATAGTTTAAGGAAACATGTTTTGTTGGAAAACACATGTCTATTCCTTTCCCATTTCCACTGGTACGACCGAGGCTTTTGCGGCAAAAATAAATGAGTGGCTGAGAATGATTCCCCCATTCTCAACCTTTTTTTTTCTCAATTGAACCCTCCTCCATATATATATATATATATATATATATATAGATATATATATATAGATATATATATATATAGATATATATATATATAGACAAAACTGCAAATTTGGTCCTTGTGGTTTTGCAAAAATCTTTGGATGGGGTCCAAAAACTTTCAGCTTGGACAGAAGATCCAAAATCAAGGTTTTTCTGGGTTTTTAGTCCAAAATTTTTGAGAAAAGACGGTTATACCCTTATTTATTTACTTTTACATTTTTTTTACATTTTATTAACATTTCAATAATAATAATAATAATAAGAAAATAGGTAAAACTCTATCTCTCTTACGTCTCTTTCTCCCTCCCTCCCTCCACTTATACTTCTATCTCTCTCTCTCTCTCTCTCTCTCTCTCTCTCTCACACACACACACACACACACAGTGTATTTTCATCAGAGATTAAAGACCCATCGGCGAATTCCCCTTCTCCGTTCTTCGTGCCACTGAGTTATGCTTCTCCGACTATTACTAGGGTTTTATCGTTGGATTCAAGACCCACTGACGAGTTCTCCAACTCCGGCGATAGCTCTAGACATGTATCAGTGGTGGAAGCTCCGACATGTAGCAGTGGTGCGATCGCAAACAGAAGGATGAAAACATGGAGCAATAGTGGAATCACTATTAAACCCTCTTTTCAATGATGTATCCTTCAAAATCTCGATACACTTGAGTCAATCCAAACCTCAATTTCTATGCAAACCGTCTTATTGCAGTGAAATTATGGAACCCCCAAATGGAATATGGTTTAGACTGAACACAATGACAATAAATCGAGAAAAAAATTGAAAACCCAGATGGTCGGTTTTCCGGCGCGATCCATCGACATCAAAACCTCATCGGGGGTTGTTGTCTTCGATCCATCGACAGCAGTGGGCATGGGAAGCATTTAGGTGATTCTTCTTCAATAGGAGGGGCTGCAGTCGACATCTCCGGCAGGCCCATCGTGGCTTCCTTTCTCATCGTCGGTAGTGAAGGAGTCAGGGGTGTTTGGGTGGTGTTCCTCGACCAATCGCCACAGAGGAAGGGGTAGCTCCGGTGCTCCACTCGACTGCTTCCCTTCTCATTATAGGCTGTGGATTTAAGCAGTAACAGTAACGATCAAAGGGGGGTGTTTGGCTGAGATCGGTGAGCAGATTAGGAAGAGGAGGAGTATTGTCATGGTGGCGATTGGTGGTCTCCTAGTTCCACCGGTTTCCTCCTACGCCAGAGATGCAAAACTGGTGAAGGGAGTTAGCGAGAGAGAGAGAGAGAGAGAGAGAGAGAGAGAGAGAGAGCGTATGGGTGGGTGGGGGATAATATATTTCTTTTCTTTTTATTTTTAAGACAAAATGGTATTAGAATAATTGTAAAAATAAAATAAAAATTAAAAGGGTATAATCGTCTTTTCAAGTTTTTTTGGACTAAAAACCCAGAAAAACCCTGATTTTGGACCTTCTGTGCAAGCTGGAAACTTTTTGGACCCCATCCAAAGATTTTTGCAAACCACAAGGACTAAATTTGCAGTTTTGTCAAATATATATATATATATATATATATATATATATATATATATATATATATATATATATATATAGAGGAATGATCATTTGAGAACTTATAGTTTCCCGAGAACTAAACGTGGAGCATTGGATCAAAAAAAGGATGGCCAAGATGTTTTGTGGTATTTTTGTAAATAAATTGAAAAGTAAAGACACAGGGGTACCTTAACAAAATGACATTAGGGGTATTTTAGGGATATAAAAATTTACCCTCAATTAATTGATCTTATCTCTCTTTCTCGTCAAAC